CACTGCTCAGATATTTAATGTATTGCTCTTGTAAAAATGAAAATTGAGTCAGAACATGTTTAATGCATGACGACTCAACTTCACCTAATCTAATCTTTCATTTATATCATTTTGGGAATATCATATAACATATAGCACAGAGAATATTGATTCCCAGCTTGTTTAATGTGTACCTACCTTCATATTACCTAACCTAACACTGTCACTGCTCAGATATTTAATGTATTGCTCTTGTAAAAATGAAAATTGAGTCTGAACGTGTTTAATGCATGATTGCATTACTTACAATGAACATAACGAATGACATAATGAACTTCACCTAACCTAACCTTTAATAAATCTTAAGTTTTTCAGTTATAAAAAAGTTTCATCAATTATCAAGAAGTATTATCAATCATCAAAGAGTATTATCAATTATGAAAAAGTATTATTAATTATGAAAAAGTGTAACAGTTAAATCTGGTGCTCCCTAGAAACTTTCCCGTAGAAAGATTTCGTTTTGCGGTGCAGCACTGCTCAGTCGCAGCTCCGACGATAATACAGATTTATACAAATCGCAGAGTTTATCCGATGATAGTAATACGAGTCGGTGGTCGATAAAGAGGGAAGGATTTATAGCGATTCACGATAAAGCAGCTTACGACTGGTGTACGTGATAAACCAGAAACGTCGTCGAGCAATAATTCACAACCTCACCGATGAAACATAGGTGAGGTGATTAATGGTGATGGCGATAAAAAATGAGGAATTTGCTTTTCGCTGCGAAATTCTCGTTTTTCGCGATTTGATTTAAATTTTTGATGCCTGTGAAATTTGTCTAGTGTACAGAGATTAATAGATGTAAGGAAAGATTAGGAAAAATATAATCAAACTTATGATTATTTAAACAAATGAGTTAAACAAAAAATAGAATTATTATTCTTTTGGTACAATTTCCCCTCACCATATCATTTATTTGTACAAGTTATAAATAAACGATTTATTTGCTTTAATACATAATATACATTTTTCAGCGCAATTTAACGAAAACCTTGTTATTAATAGTTTTCTTACCAGAACACTTCGTGTCAGTTTCAATCAAACATTTCTATATAACGGTTTCAGTTAATTAATTACTGCCGTATCTTCTCCCTCGAACTCCTGTTTTATTCGCTAGCCAATTTCTCCGAACATTTATAATGCAGAATCCAAATTTCGATAGCGGGATGGTGCAGCTATTTCTTCTCCATGGCGTCTGATTCTTCCGAGTCCTGAAAATTAATTATGCATCTGCTTATTTCCATTGCAAACATGATTTTTAATGTACTTTGAAGTAGATGAGGCCGACATGGGGGATTTGCGAGTGTTTCCATGTGTGGCAAAGAACCGATCGGGGATTTGGAAATGTGGAAACTTGGAAGTGTGAGATTTGGGAGTACGGGATCTGGGGTAATGGGGTTGAGGGTCAATTGAGATCCGGGACAATGGGTTTAGGGGTAGAAGAATTTGGAGACGTGGAGATTTGGTACAATAGGAATTTTGGATAATAGGGATGTGGGACGATATTGGGAATGGGGATCTGGGACAGTAGGGATCTGGAAGATCTAGGGATTTGGAAGATATAGGGATCTGGAAGATATAGGGATCTGGAAGATATAGGGATCTGGGACAGTAGGGATCTGGGATTATAGGGATCTGGGACAGTAGGGATCTGGAAGATATAGGGATCTGGAGGATATAGGGACCTGGGACAGTAGGGATTTGGAAGATATAGGGATCTGGACGATATAGGGATCTGGGTCAGTAAGGATCTGGGACATTAGGGATCTGGGACAGTAGGGATCTGGAAGATATAATGATCTGGAGGATATAGGGATCTGGAAGATGTAGAGATCTGGAGAATATAGGAATTCGGGACAGTAGGGATCTGAGACATTAGAGATTTGGGACAGTAGGGATCTAGAAGATATAGGGATCTGGACGATATAGGGATCTGGAAGATATAGGGATCTGGGACAGTAGGGATCTGGAAGATATAGGGATCTGGGGATATAGGGATCTAAGGGTACAAGTATCTAGGAACATATGAAGTTGGGAATAGAAGGATTTGGAACAACAGGGAGTGGGGACCAGAGCAATCTTGGACACTACCTGGGCCAAGAGGGATCTGGGACAACAGAGATCTGGGGCAATAGTATTCTGGAAGATATAGGGATCTGAGGACATAGGGACCTAGGAATATAGGTATCTAGGAACATAGGAAGCTGGGAATAGAGGGATTTGGAATAACAGGGAGTGGAGACTACAGCACTCTTGAACACTACCTGGCGCAATAAGGACGTGGTACCATATTGATCTGGTGCAATACTGATCTGGAAGGTATAGAGATTTGAGGACATAGGGACCTAGGAATATAAGTATCTAGGAACATAGGAAGTTAGGAATAGAGGGATTTAGAATAATAGGGAGTGGAGACTAAAGCAATCTTGAACACTACCTGGCGCAATAAGGACGTGGTACCATATTGATCTAGTGCAATACTGATCTGGAAGGTATAGAGATTTGAGGACATAGGGACCTAGGAATATAAGTATCTAGGAACATAGGAAGTTAGGAATAGAGGGATTTAGAATAATAGGGAGTGGAGACTAAAGCAATCTTGAACACTACCTGGCGCAATAAGGACGTGGTACCATATTGATCTAGTGCAATACTGATCTGGAAGGTATAGAGATTTGAGGACATAGGGACCTAGGAATATAGGTATCTAGGAACATAGGAAGCTGGGAATAGAGGGATTTGGAATAACAGGGAGTGGAGACTACAGCACTCTTGAACACTACCTAGGGCAATAGTGATCTGGTGCAATAGTGATCTCTAAGATATAAATCTAAGATTAAAAGGCTCTAGGGAAACAGAAATCTAGGAATACAGCAATTAGGCTTAACAGGTATTTCGCACAATAGCAATCTTGAACAATAGGTACCTAGAACAATAGAGATGTGGGACGATAGAGATCTGGTAATAGGGGTCTGATATACACAGGATAGAAGCCTACAGATATAGAGATGTAACTGCCTAGTAGAAATCCAAAAATATATCAATACACATAATGATCTGAACAATAAGTTTCTAAGGATATAAACATTCGCATAGAGTCTAAAGATATAAAGAAATTTCGAAATGTAGACTACCTTCATTTCTATACAAATAGCGAAGTCTGGGTCACCCAACTGAGAAACTTGCGCGAATTTCCAGAAAGTTTGTTCGGTGCTCCAGAAATGGCAGTGACTGAAACTCGATCCTTTTGCAACCGACTCTATCTTACTCGAGTTTCGCGACCTCTCAAAGAATTCGCGTAGTTTTGTCGCGTTAAGTCACCGTTAGTTTTCATTCATTTTCACCGTGGAAACTTTTCGTTCTCTCTCATTCCCTTTTTTCCCGGCCATCCACTGCCAGCAAGGGAAGATTCTCTTTCGTTACCGGCAAATTTCAAGCCACGATTCCAGTTTCCACTTTGCCAACGAACGGAAGCTGCTACAAATTGCTCTGACAGGACTTTGACAAAAATAGGTGGAAAATAGAATTCAAACTGGCACAGAGAAGAGCGTTGTTTGATGCGTGCTCGTTTGACGCCGGTTTTTTATCAAAACTCTCCATGCGAGCAAATTTAAATTTTGTAACATAGATTTTATGACGTAAATTTATTGCAACGAGCTTACAGTAGCAGTTTAAAGTTAAAAGGGACTGTATAAATGTTTCATGAACGTTCAACTCAATGGATGCTTAAATGTCCGCACTGTTTTCAAACCAATTAAGTCTAACACGATTTCATGGCATGATAAAACGCAGCTCATACTGATCTAGATTAACGCGTAAAGCTTGATGCAAATGGCAGTCAAATGATAAATAAAATGACTGCGTTCACTTATCGTTAGCACGCAGCTTTGACATGTATAATACTATATCAATTTCAATTAGTTTGACACTGAAATACTCATGGAGTGACTGAGGGAACCGTGCTACCAGTTTGCAGTTCCGAGATGTGAACTTGCAAGTACTTCTCAGAATGAATAGTAACTAATAAGACGCGTGCTGTCTTATTAATTAAAGTGTCACACTCACTGGCTTCTCATGTGAACGGGTTCTACATCCTCTGGCCAGGCTTCTGACGTCTCCCGGTGGTCAAAGTCTCTCTCTTGCTATAATGGCACCGCGAGACACACGAGAATGCGTACTATCTGAAGAATCAGCACGGGTCGCAACAGCCAATATGATTGTCAACAGCAACAAATATCCAAGAATGTGTTTCGTTGTTGCCAACGTAAATGCCGATCGAGTCGAACTATAATTCACTTTCTTTCGGTTTCTCGCGAAACACTGTGAGATGATCTCCTCGACACGACTAATTATACCCCTGTTTCGTTCACATCAGAAGAGGGAACTGGCCAGACTAGTCTTGAATTTTTCAGGATGAGGAAAGCGATTAATTTGGATATGCAAATTTGAGTATGCGGGAACTGGGATGTTGACAACTTGGGAGTATGGCGACTACGGAATACAAAAACTTGGATATGTGGGAACTTACGAATGTGGACTGGGACTTGGTACTGCGAAGATTTAGGAATAATAAGATATGTAGTGTCACACTTACTTAATAATATATCGGGGGAGGTCTACATGGATAGCGCCTCGACATGACGTTTCCTTCTGGACAAAGTCTCCTTTCAGGTGCAGGTATTATCGTACGACGTACAAGAGAATGCGTGCTGTCTGAAGAATCAGCGCGGACCACAACAGTCAGTATCATCGTCGAAAGCAATAAATATCCAAGTATGTGTTTCATTGTTGCCAACGAAAAAGCAGTTCGAGTCGAATTAGAATTCACTTTCTTTCGGTTTCTCGCGAAACACTGTGAGATGATCTCCTCGATACGACTAATTATACCCCTGTTCCGTTCACATCAGAAGAGGGGACTGGTCAGACTAGTCTTGCACTTTTCAGCACGAGGAAAGCGATTAATTTGGATATTGACTACAGAATACAAAAACTTAGATATGTGGAAATTTTCGAATGTGGACGGGGGACTTGTACTGCGAATGGGAATGCGACACTTGGATTTACAAATGTAGAGACCTGCGGATTTCGTGCCTAACAGAATCTAGAAATGTCACTTGGAAAATGGAGATTCGAGAATATTATGAACCAAATAACGATGTTGCATGTGAGCAAATCATAGTGACTGAGACCACCATGCCACCAGACTAGTATGCAGTTCCAAGATGTGAACTTGCAAGTAATTTTAAGAATGTACCCTAACTAATGAGACATGTACCGTGTCACACTTACAGTTTGCACGATGGTTCGACACATATGTCCGTGGGCCACCTTGGATCCCCCAGGGCAAGGTCTTTTCTCTTCCAGTATGATTGCTAGTGGGAGGGGGGGGCACACTTTTCGCACTGCCTTTAGGATCCATACTGTCTTCAGGATTCGCACTGCCTTTAGAATCCATACTGTCTTCAGGATCCATATTGCCTTCATGATCCATACTGTCTTCAGGATCTACTCTGTCCTCAGGATCCACACTGTATTCAGGACCATCACAGATCGCAACAGTCACTATCGTTAGCAGCAACAAGTGTCCAAGTATGTATTTCATTGTTTCCTTCGTATCGAATCAGTTTCTATTGGTTTTGTGCAACCGACTGTGAGATGATCTCCTCGAATTGGCAAGTTATACCCTTGTTTATATCGCGAAGGGGGGACTCGTCAAACTAGTCTCGCATTTTTCGGAACGAGGAAAGTCATCAATTAGGATATGGAAATTTGCGTATGCGGAAATTAGGATTTGCAAATATTATGAACTAAATAATCATCTTGCATGTACGCACATCATAGTCACCACCTTACTAGTGGACAATCAAGTATGCAGTTGTGAACTTGTAACTTCTTTCAAGAATGTGACCTAACTAATGAGATATGTACGGTATCACACTTACATTTTGTAAAATGCGTCGACAGCCGATTTTGTGAGCCTTCTTGGTTCCCGGTGGGCAAGGTCTGTCTGGTACTACTATGGATGTGCCCACAAACGGTTCAGAACCGTCATGGAATTTAGGAGATATCCTTAATCCAGGATAGGTACCGTCTTGAAGACTCTTAATGATTTCCGGATCGATATAGTCTTCAGAATCCATACTGTCTGCAGGATGAGTACTGCCTTTCGGATGCGTACTGTCTTTAGGATCCATACTGTATTCAGGATCATCACAGATCGCAATAGTCACTATCACCGACAACAGCAACAAGTATCCAAACATGTATTTCATTGTTTCCAACGTAAGTGGCTTCGTGTCGAATCAGGATGCAGTCTTTTGGTATTTTGCAAGAGACAGTGAGGTGATCTCCTCGAATGGGCAAGTTATACCCTGGGTTTGTTTGAAAGAGGGGAGTAGTCAAACTAGTTTTCCTTTTTTTGAAGATGAGCAATGTGATCAATTTGGATACGAATATTTGCATATGTGGAAACTAGGATGACAACTTGGGAGTATGGAGATTGAAGAATATAAAAGCTTGCACATGTAGGGACTTACGGATGTGGACTGGGACGAGGGACTTGGTACTGTGAAGATATGGGAATGAAACACTTGGGTTACAAATGTAGAGACTTGCGAATTTCGTGCCTAACATAATCTAGAAATGTCACTTAGGAAATGAAAATGTGAGAATATTGTGTACGAAATAACGATCTTGAATGTGGGCAAATTGTAGTGGCTGAGACCACGGTGGCACCAAATCAGTATGCAGTTCCAAGATAAGAACTTGCCAGTACGCTAACTAATGAGATATGTACAGTGTCACACTTACAAAATCGAAGATGAGTCGACATAAAGCTGCGAGACCCTTCTTGGTTCCCTTTGGGCAAAGTCTCTCCCGTGTGACTATGGCTGCGGTATCTACAAGCTCAATTTTTCCAGAATATGTATTGTTTTCAGGGTCCATATTGTGTTCAGGATCCGTACTGTCCTCAGGATTCGTATTATCATCAGAATCTATACTGTCTTCGGAATCCATACTGTCTTCAGGATACATACTCCCTTCAGGATCTACACTATCTGCAGGATCCGTAGTGTCTTGAGGATCTGTACTGTCTTCAGGAACCGTAACATATTCAGGATCTATACTATCTTCAGGATCCGTTCTGTCTTCAGGATACGTAGTGTCTTGAGGATCTATACTGTCTTCAGTAACCGTAACGTATTCAGGATCATCACAGATCGCAATAGTCACTATCACCGACAACAGCAACAAGTATCCAAACATGTATTTCATTATTTCCAACATAAATGTCTTCGTGTCGAATCAGAATTCAGTTTCCTTTGGTTTTGTTACAACAGACTGTAAGATGTTCTCCTCGAACGGGCAAGTTATACCCTCGGTTTGTTTGAAAGAGGGGAGTAGTCAAACTAGTTTTCCTTTTCTTGAAGATGAGCAATGTGATCATTTTGGATACGAAAATTTGCATATGTGGAAACTAGGATGACAACTTGGGAGTATGGAGACTGAACCCAGAAATTTGGACATGTGGACTACGTTAGGGGATTTTGTACTGCTTTAGAAATGAAGCACTTGAATTTACAAATGTAGACACTTGCGAATTTGATGCTGGTGAATCTGGAAATAGTCGCTTGGGAATTGGAGATGTGAGAATATTACAAACCAAATAACGATGTTGCATGACTGAGCAAACTCCGACCTGGGTGCTATCAGACCAGTACGCAGTTCCAAAATGTGGACTAGCAATTACTTCCAAGAATGTACCCTAACTAATGAGACATGTACCCTGTCACACTTACATTTTCAATGACGGGTCGACAAACAGCTCCCAGAGCCTTCTTGGTTCCCGGTGGGCAAGGTCTCTCCGGCACCTCTATGGCGGCGATAACCATCGGCTCAATATTCACACTGTCTTCAGTATGCGCATTGTCTACAGAATGCGTACTGTTTTCAAGATCCACACTGTCATCATAACAGATCGCAATAGTCAGCACCGACAACAGCAACAAGTGTCCAAATATGTATTTCATTTTTTCCTTCGTGTCGGATCAGAATTCAGTTTCTATTGGCTTTTTTGTAACAGACTGTGAGATGTTCTCCTCGAACGCGCAAGTTATACCCTTGTTTTGTTTAGAAGAGGGGAGTGGTCAAACTAGTCTTGCATTTTTCAAGATGTGCAAGGTGATCAATTGCTAATCACCGAAAATAGCTTGTACTTCGAATAAATTAGTATCGTCGAGGATTTCGTAACGATTCCTGAGATAATTGGACGTTTGCAATAACTTGATGTCTGATGATTACTCGATTTGATTACACTGTAATTTTGCAGAACCTGTTACTATTTTTGTGCGGCATCGTATGTGATAGAGAATTCACGAATGAAATTTAAAGCAAACGAGACAGGCAATGGTAAATGAATTTAATGGCACTTGAATTCGCAATATCGTTGATGGTCGGCTCGTAACTTTGGCGTTCAGTTGGGAAAAAGTGACACGCTAATTGCATTTTCGATATAAATGTTTTATTAATTTTTTCAACGAAGAAGAAAACTTGTGTCCTTAATGTATATTCAAATGCTTACTCTTTGAGCAACGTCCCAAATATAATGAAGTGAAAATAACCTGAAACGCCATTTATACACGAACAAAATGGCTGCCTCCGAACCTAACCTAATAAATACAACGGTTCGAAATGAATAAATCTGACAGTTTTGTATGAATCAGAAAATGGCACTCGTTTCATATAAATTAAAATGCAAAATTTCGCAGAAACCTTTTATTAATATTATCGCTATACAAAGGATTGTTATCAATTACGTCGAGTATCGAACGAGAGCAAAGCTAATGGAAACACGATACAACGTTCGTTTGATGTATTTCGATAAAGAATATGAAGAAATACGAAGCTTCGAAATTGATAATATTTCACGCTTGAAATTCAGTCATTTTTTTTTTGTAAAATTCGAGCTGGTGGAATGTTCATTGTTTATCGATTGTACAGTTACCGGTTAGAAATTAAACGGATAATTTGATATTTTATTCTTCGATGATTGTTAAATGTTTCGAACGAAATTCGTTGATTTAGTGTCATTACGTATTTTCCGCCGCGTTGGTTAGTCATATTTTGAACGTCGAAATTTTACGAACGCCGGAACTTTATTATCTCGTGCCATGTACATCAAATTTCTCGTACGATGAAATTAATACGCGGAAAACTATTCTATCGAGTTCAACAATTTTCCGTTAAATTCCGTTTGAAGTTTTATACTTTTCCATGTTTGGAATTTCCTATTTGGAACGGCACATGTGGATTAATATGAATCTAGAGAATTCGCATGAAATTAGATGTATCATTTTTACTGCGGAATTAAATTTCAGCACCGCTAATAGTATGACATTGGATAATATTAAATACGTATAATACAGCGTGAAATTCCATTGAAGATGTTGTAATTTCTGCGGTCCGCTTTGCGCGGAACGCATGGCAGTAATTATAATACGATTACGCAGCACGATGTTTGTTTATGAATCTTCCAAATCCAATTTGTAATTCTCCGCAAGGACATGTTCCACTGCTTTATCACCTGTCAATTTAGGATTGCGGAGTAAAGTCTAGGCATATAGAAAAATATACTTATGAAGAGATAGGGGATGTGGTATAAAGTTTTTACGATGTGAGGACTTCAGGATCTAGGACGTAAAGATGTGGATCTAAAATGTACGAATCCGAGATACAGAGATTGAACGAATGTCAATATCACGTGTCTCATATACACGCGAAGAAGGAAGAAGAATTTTGCCCTCATCCTGAAGAGCTCCAAGACAATCAGTCGTTAATTTAAATAAAAAGCGAGTGTACGAAGGATACCTTTTCAAATCATTGACAGGGTAGAAAACATATTCGCACGGTAGTAGCCTAAACGCGTCAGGCATGCGCGATAAGTGATTCCGCGGTCTATCACCAGACGACACAAGTTTCAACCCTCAGTCTGGCGCCGCGTGCGAGCGCGAAACGACGAGGGCGCATTCTCGTTTCCGCTTGATCAGATTTCCCCCCACCGCGTAAAGAACGATGACCCGCGAGACCCGCGTCCGCTACTCGAAATCCGATGATGCCACTTGAAACTTCAAAAGGGAGACGAAGGAGCAACAGTTCCCGCCTAGCGTTAAAACAAAAGACTCGTTAGCTCGAAACGCGATGAACATTCCGGGCAGGGACAAGTGGACAGACTCGAAGGATTCTTCGCGTTACCGCGCGGTTACGGTGGTGTTTCGTTAAACATGTGACGGAGGTTTGCCGAAGCAAACAGCCGCAGTGAAATGCATGGAGTTTCGTCGAAATTAACCAGTTCCATCATGACGTGACTGGGGCCCAGCAGCCCGCGCAGCTTGTTGCCCTCGATGGCCGCGATGAGTGTTCCGTGGTACGTGCTCCTTCTGGTCACGTGGTGTTCCGTATGGGCAAACTTCGTGGACCAGATCGAGAGGCCTAGGGAATTGTTGCGTCACCAGCAGAATCACCGGCCCTCGTTCATCGAGCGCAGGCTGGTCGACCGACTGGACACGCACGAAGCCACGGAGCCTCCTGTCCACCTGGACGAGTTCGACAGTCAACCTCCCCGCAGGAGCAAACCGGAAACCAGCATCGAGAGGCCGGCTACGCAGATCAGACACAGTCGTTCCAGGAACCACTTCACCAGACAGGCCAAACTGGAGGATCCGAAGGAGGACGCCTCCAGGTCCAGACACCCGGAGGCTGATCCCGCTATCACCGGAAAGGATCTCAGATCCTCGGGCACGATCGACGAAAGGTCCACCGTGGATCTTAATTTAAATAAAAAGCGAGTGTACGAAGGATACCTTTTCAAATCATTGACAGGGTAGAAAACATATTCGCACGGTAGTAGCCTAAACGCGTCAGGCATGCGCGATAAGTGATTCCGCGGTCTATCACCAGACGACACAAGTTTCAACCCTCAGTCTGGCGCCGCGTGCGAGCGCGAAACGACGAGGGCGCATTCTCGTTTCCGCTTGATCAGATTTCCCCCCACCGCGTAAAGAACGATGACCCGCGAGACCCGCGTCCGCTACTCGAAATCCGATGATGCCACTTGAAACTTCAAAAGGGAGACGAAGGAGCAACAGTTCCCGCCTAGCGTTAAAACAAAAGACTCGTTAGCTCGAAACGCGATGAACATTCCGGGCAGGGACAAGTGGACAGACTCGAAGGATTCTTCGCGTTACCGCGCGGTTACGGTGGTGTTTCGTTAAACATGTGACGGAGGTTTGCCGAAGCAAACAGCCGCAGTGAAATGCATGGAGTTTCGTCGAAATTAACCAGTTCCATCATGACGTGACTGGGGCCCAGCAGCCCGCGCAGCTTGTTGCCCTCGATGGCCGCGATGAGTGTTCCGTGGTACGTGCTCCTTCTGGTCACGTGGTGTTCCGTATGGGCAAACTTCGTGGACCAGATCGAGAGGCCTAGGGAATTGTTGCGTCACCAGCAGAATCACCGGCCCTCGTTCATCGAGCGCAGGCTGGTCGACCGACTGGACACGCACGAAGCCACGGAGCCTCCTGTCCACCTGGACGAGTTCGACAGTCAACCTCCCCGCAGGAGCAAACCGGAAACCAGCATCGAGAGGCCGGCTACGCAGATCAGACACAGTCGTTCCAGGAACCACTTCACCAGACAGGCCAAACTGGAGGATCCGAAGGAGGACGCCTCCAGGTCCAGACACCCGGAGGCTGATCCCGCTATCACCGGAAAGGATCTCAGATCCTCGGGCACGATCGACGAAAGGTCCACCGTGGATCTGGACAAACTGCTCACCAGGTTGTCCGAGGCAGCCAAGGAGGGAAAGTCCCGGGCCACTCCGGTCCGCCATAAAGGCGACTCTTTAAACAAGCTGAAGAAGGTGATCGCCAGGAACAGGGCCCGAACGTTCGGGAACAGAACGGTCGGGAACATGACGGACGTGTACGGTCACATCGTCCGCGGTACACCCGAAAGGTACGACCTGGACAACCTGGAGGACTACGACGGCTACGTTGACAGCGACCTCGGCAAGAACAGTTCCGAGAGGGAGGACTACGAGGATTACGGCAGCAAGGAGGACCAGGGTAGGCCCAACAAGGAACCCGTCCACGTGGACATCGTGACCAGGTTCCTCCGCATCATCGAGAACCAACATCTTCTGGGGGAGAACTGCACCGCGGGCACGGATCTGAACTTGGGCGAGGGCATCGTTGATCAGTATGCCCAGGAGAGGTTCAAGCTCGAGGCGAACCTCGCGGTGAACAGAGCGAATATGCTGACGAGGTTGTGGAAGTACGCGCCGGAAGTGATGTTGTCCTCGGAGTACTTGCTGCACGCCAGTATTCTGTCCATGGTGGAGTTCGATGAAGACATCTTTGCCGCAGGGAATTGCTACGATAAGTTACAGTACAGGGACCGCTGGCTTTATTGCCCGTTCGCTCATCGACTGCAGGGGGAGGATGGGATCCTGGTGAAGGACCTCGCGATCGAGTACAAGTACCTGAGCAACAGCAGCGAGTGGTTCTACATTGCTAGGAAGAACGCGGAGAAGGTTATTGCGAATAATGATCAATTCAGCCGTGGTAAGTGATACCGTTGGTTTAATCTTGGCTTGCAAGTTGGAAACTTAGAAACAGCTGTGCGGTTAGTTCTGGGTCGAGTAACTTTGAATAACTTTGCTGTTCAATCTTAGGATTGCCAGGGGAGGATTATGGCGGGTAGACAAATTTTTACCGACGAAAAATCGTAATTAAATTTAGACGAAACCTTTTAGAGGCCCTTTTCGCGAAGAAAGAAGGGATATTTTAAAAAGGAAATTGCGAAAAATTAATTTCAAAGGTATTCCGATGAATCAGATTTCTTTATGATGTTCCTAAGCTCAAAGGTTTCGGTATTAAGCTCACATTGAGCGATAAAGAGATATGACTATTTCATCCTTTTAATACCCAGAAGGGTTCTCGTGTCTTATGCTTTCACGTTTAATTTTCAATTCACCGGAGTAATCTGCATAATCCGTTCAAAGATTGAAAACTGCAAAGTTTGCGTTAATTTTGAATTCTCGCGTTTTATGTTGTTCATTTGGAAAGAAAATTTACATTTTATCTAAACAGTCCTTTTGGAAGGAAAATTATGGTACAGAAGCAAACCGTGAATACTTCAAAATGTGTATTCATAACAGTTTTATATCTCTAGATTCGTATATTTTTACGCCACTATATTAAATCGTATTTTTATGATCTCCATATTCAGTTCCACAGATTTCACATTTACAAATTAATTTCGAACGATTAATAATTTTATGACAGTCGATCAAAATTAAAATTAGTAATATTACGGCAAGAAAAAGTTGCATCTCGACAGGTCTATCGGATTTTAGCGACTTAATTTCGCGCCTAGGAAATTCTCACCTGTCGCGGATATTGGAAACGTCTGTCTTCTAGCCCTCTCACCCTTTGAAGCGAAGAGTCGACCCAGATTTTAATGGAAGGGGCAAACCCCTCAGATTACTTCCGCTTCCCGTATGGAACGGTACATTGTCCGTTGAAATTGAATGATCGAACGGCAGGAAAGAGAAATACAGAATCGTTTGGTGCTGGACAGCCACGATTTCCGTTAGATCGGGAAATTTTCAACGAACCCTCCTTTTGAGTCCTTACCTCGCCATGATTTTTATCTCCCGTCGAAGTTCGTGTCGGGAACGATACTTTAATTAAACTACGTTCTTTCGCGTGAAATCTGCATCCCAAGTTTTATTCAATCACCGTTGGTGTAATCGGATTTGCGACAGGATTATTTCGTTCAAAATCGTAGCGTTACGATTCGTGTGATAAATACCTATTTACGTAAAACAATTTCGTTAATTTCGTTATTACTCATATTTGCATCTGAAAATCCGATTTCGTACCAAGATTAATGCACGGAGGAAATTAATTTGTGCTTCGCGGTTTGCAACCGTTTGCATAATTCTTTGGTTGATTTAATGTAATTTTTTTATAACAATTACTAGTATTCTGCTATAAGAAAGCACGTAGTAATTTGTTAATTCAGCTTCGAAGAAATCAGCTTTGGAATATCAAGCTTAAGGTGTCGGGTGTCAGGTGTGAGGTGTCAAATGTCGAACATTAAGTTTCATGTAGGAAGTGTTAGGTGTCAGCTTTGGAGTATCAGGTGTCAGGCATCGAGCTATTAATATCAAGTTTCAATCGTGAAGTATCAAATTTCAGGAGTCAGATAACAAGTATCAGATGTCAGATTTGAAGTATCGAATTTCAGGTACGAGGTATCAAATTCCTCGTGTTAGATATCAGATGTCAGATTTGAAGTATCGAATTTCAGGTACGAGGTATCAAATTCCACGTGTTAGATATCAGATGTCGGATTTGAAGTATCAAATTTCAAGTACGAGGTATCAAATTCCACGCGTTAGATATCAGATGTCGGATTTGAAGTATCGAATTTCAGGCACGAGGTATCAAATTCCTCGTGTTAGATATCAGATATCAGATTTGAAGTATCGAATTTCAGGTACGAGATATCAAATTCCTCGTGCTAGATATGAAATGTCAGGTATTTAAGATCGAGTTTCAAACTTCAACTCTGAAATGCATCTTCAACTGGTTTCATTTTCCAGTGACTAAACTTCCATTTCGCCTCCCACTTCCACAACTTCAAATCACTTCAAACTACATCTTAATTAACTTCAAACCGCTTCAAACATCATACTCCTGAATTTCAAGCCGCTTCAAACTTCCAATTCCCTAGCCTCAAACCTCCCACAACTTCATCACCTTCTAACTTCTTCAAACTTCAAATTCTGTATTTCTCAAGTCTTAAGCATCTTCTCAGCTTCTATTTTTTAAATATAACTTAGGTGTCAGACACCAGGTGTTAAGAATAAAATATCAAGTTTCAAACGTCACCAAGATGTCAGATATCAAACCTTATCTATCAAGCATTGCATCTCCATTTCATTCCATCACAAATGACTAAATATAAAATAACATCCCTTTTAATAAAACAAACCACAGGAGATATTAAAAATTCTGAAGCAACGTAAACGAGGAAACGGTAAACAGACGAAAGTACATAAACCGCAATATCAGTTGCCATCAGATTGTATATAAAGTACAAAATATAGAAGGTAAACGGGACATTAAGAAAGTTCACAGACGCGTACACTTCTGTCCGCAAAGGACGGGTGATATATCTGGTGCATATTTCAAGTATCACGGCGAGTGTTTGAAATCTCGGGCCAAAGGGTTAAGTTATTTACTCGAGCAATATTTCGCGTTCATCGTTTGATTTGCCCGTTTCCGAATCGATTCGCGTCTCCGAACTTCTTGAATTATTCACGAGAAAAATGTTTCCCGGTAGCAGTCGCGTGCTCGTGGCCGTTTCGAGATGCACTTAACATATTTGTGACCGGATCCCTTCGGTAGAAAGTAGCAAAACGTCCTCGAATGAAAAGGGAAACGCTGTAGCGAGGAAATGGAACTCATTTTGTAGACGGAAACTCGCACACGTAGACCGCGTTTTGCTTTCCGAATCCTCGGAGAACTTTGACGAAGAGCTAATTCTTACAGACCGAATTCTTACGGACCGAAACATACGAAGAATTCTTGTAAACATCGTCTACAAAGAACTTAGGAATATGTGGATGTTTACCAGGACGATAGAATTAAGAAGGCCGAACTGATAAGATGCGGACTTAAGAATATGGGAACTTAGGGATTATTGTCCAGTAAACAACTGACCTAGCGGAGGCTTGGGAATATGGAGATTCGTGTGGGGATTGAAATATGTGAGGGCTTAGAAACGTGGAGGGTCAGGCGTACAATTTGGGATCCGAGGAAACTACTGAACTAGCGAGACGGGGACTTGGGAATATGGAGAATTGGAAGTATGGCAACTTGGAAATATGAGAGTCGGAGATATGGAGGTTCGGGGATGTGGAGACTTGGATATTGGCAACTTGAGAGTATGGAGACTACGGAACAGAAACTTGGACATGTAGGGACGAATGTGGACTGGGACTATGGGGACGTGTACTGTGAAGATTTGGGAATGACGCTTGGATTTACAAATAGAGGCTTGCGTGCATAACATGTGAATCTAGAAATGGAGATGTGGGAATATTATGAATCAAATAATGATCTCGCATGTGAGCAAATCGTGGCGATCGAGGGAACCGTGCTACCAGTATGTAGTTCCAAGATGTGAACTTGCAAGTACTTCCCAGAATGAATAGTAACTAATAAGACGCGTGCTGTCTTATTAATTAAAGCGTCACACTCACTGGCTTTTCATGTGAACGGGTTCTACATTCTCTGGCCAGGCTTCTGACGTCTCCCGGTGGTGAAAGTCTCTCTCTTGCTATAATGGCACCGCGAGACACACGAGAATGCGTACTATCTGAAGAATCAGCACGGGTCGCAACAGCCAATATGATTGTCAACAGCAACAAATATCCAAGAATGTGTTTCGTTGTTGCCAACGTAAATGCCGATCGAGTCGAACTATAATTCACTTTCTTTCGGTTTCTCGCGAAAGACTGTGAGATGATCTCCTCGACTCGGCTAAATATACCCCTGTTTCGTTCACATCAGAAGAGGGAACTGGCCAGACTAGTCTTGAATTTTTCAGGATGAGGAAAGCGATTAATTTGGATATGCAAATTTGAGTATGCGGGAACTGGGATGTTGACAACTTGGGAGTATGGCGACTACAGAATACAAAAACTTGGATATGTGGGAACTTACGAATGTGGACTGGGACTTGGTACTGCGAAGATTTAGGAATAATAAGATATGTAGTGTCACACTCACTTAATAATATATCGGGGGAGGTCTACATGGATAGCGCCTCGACATGACGTTTCCTTCTGGACAAAGTCTCCTTTCAGGTGCAGGTATTATCGTACGACGTACAAGAGAATGCGTGCTGTCTGAAGAATCAGCGCGGACCACAACAGTCAGTATCATCGTCAAAAGTAATAAATATCCAAGTATGGGTTTCATTGTCGCCAACGAAAAAGCAGTTCGAGTCGAATTAGAATTCACTTTCTTTCGGTTTCTCGCGAAAGACTGTGAGATGATCTCCTCGACTCGGCTAAATATACCCCTGTTTCGTTCACATCAGAAGAGGGAACTGGCCAGACTAGTCTTGAATTTTTCAGGATGAGGAAAGCGATTAATTTGGATATGCAAATTTGAGTATGCGGGAACTGGGATGTTGACAACTTGGGAGTATGGCGACTACGGAATACAAAAACTTGGATATGTGGGAACTTACGAATGTGGACTGGGACTTGGTACTGCGAAGATTTAGGAATAATAAGATATGTAGTGTCACACTCACTTAATAATATATCGGGGGAGGTCTACATGGATAGCGCCTCGACATGACGTTTCCTTCTGGACAAAGTCTCCTTTCAGGTACAGGTATTATCGTACGTCGTACAAGAGAATGCGTGCTGTCTGAAGAATCAGCGCGGACCACAACAGTCAGTATCATCGTCAAAAGTAATAAATATCCAAGTATGGGTTTCATTGTCAGCGAGACGGGGACTTGGGAATATGGAGAA